CTGACCTTGCACTCCCCTCCCTTGTGGTTGTAAGCCGCCCTGAGTCCCCTCAGGGAAAAGGGCGGCATATAAATCCCAATAAACCTATAAACCTACACAGCGATTTACAAAGACACAGGTATTAAGCCAAGAAACGCAAAACTGGCCTTATCAGGTAGGCCACGTGGGATCATACCACATTGGAAGCCTATAAAGAAAAGATGCAATTATTCTGGCCATCTACTAGATGTTTGCACCCAAATGCAGTTACCTATCAGACCAAACCTGGAACAGAACCTATTAACCTATGTGTTGTTTCCATGTTCTATGTAGTAGCATTATTATCTTAACATGATTGTATACCTTTCGGGTACTCCCAGGTCAGTCCAAATACTGCTTTAATTCCTTAGCGTTTTTCAAAAAGTTGTCTATTTTTCTAGTTTGCCAGGTTTGTATTTTGAACTGCAGTCCAGTCATGATACGTATGTGCAGCCATGTATCTCAGTCCTGCCTCTGATGGAAATAGAAAAGGGTCAGCCCTTTGGAACATAAAAACAGAATTTGGACAAACTCAATAAAAGACCTGACTCTTTATACAAGCCTTTGGCTGGAATAATTGAAGCCCTTTCTGAAGTGTGTTGTTGTTGCCCAGCATTGGCATATTTTGTTCCTTTTGCCTTTATTTTGTTCCTTTTGTTTTACTATTTTTCTGTTTTAGTCTGTGAACTGTGCAGAGTTGCTGAGTCAAGCTGTGTACAAATTAAGTAGGTAGGTAAATGTGTGTTCTGCAATTGAGAAAAGCACAGGGCGACCCTTGTACCTCACAGCCTTTGTTCAAATTTGATATGTTCAGGAATCTGGAGGAAGTTCGGTTAAATGAAGTAGAAAAACTTTTTCTTTGAAAATTCTATTACTGTAGACATTGATAAATAATTCAGCTAATAATTTTTGTTAGGATTTTGATTTTTGCTATGGTACACATCTCCTGTCTTATTTTTCTGCATAACTTATGAACTTGGATGCCTAACTTCACAAGCATTATTTGTATTTCAGGATGAGTTTAAATGCATTTTTTAAAATATCTACTTGTGATTAATAATATTTTGAATTCATTCTCTCTAGTATAAATCTGGTAATTCTTAAGAGAAAATTTATTTCATTTCTAACATATGCGCACCATGTGATGAGACCAGAACAAAAGATTTCTTTTCGACTTTTAAATTGCCATGATTTGGGAAACACTGCCCTTTATATTACCCTATAAGTAAATATTCATACTTTAACATCCAACATTAAAAGGGACATTTACATGTTATCTTTCCTTGTTAAAAATTGTTTGATTTTTCTTAATCTCAATTGGCCTGTCTCCCAAGGAAGGAAGAGTCTGCACCACATGCCTTCATGTTATACAGCCAGAGGATTGCATTATAAATTTTTGACTTTCTAATCAAGGGCACAGTAAAGATTGTGTAGGCCTTCCCTCTCATATCACCTGGGATTTAAGGTGGATACCAGGTAAACCCCCTCATCCTCCGCAAACACAGATGGTTGCAGCGTCAAGCTTCCGCCCCAACATACTTGCACACATAACCATCTGCCATTTTCCCTTCTCTTTCCCCAATTTTGTTCTTTCTACAAATTACACATTGGGGGTAGGGGGAAAAACAATGTAGAGCAACTAATTGTTGTGTGGTATTTTTTGCGTATATTAAGCTGCAACTCAACGGAATTCCCATTGGAAACTCACTCTTTTAATCTAAGGCTTAAATAATTACCTTTTTCCAAGCAAGGGTTGTTGAGGTTTTTTGAGTATTACTTAGATAAAATATGGATAGTATTTTTTTAAAAAAACTTTTAAAATGTGAACATGAAAAGTAATTATTTCTTCCCTTTAACTGCCCATAGCAGTAATATATAAGGTGTGAAAAGAAATTATTGAACCAAACCTAGCATTCCACTAGTTACCATAACATGGATTTGTCTAATGTTTGCAAACAGTAGTTGAAACAAAAAAACTTCTACTCCTTTGCTTTTTCAAGGTAATTTGCAGCCATTACTACAATAATGATGTCATTTGAGAACATTCCATTTATTGTATGTCATTGGGAAAATTCATTATTCATTCTAATACTTTAAACGCTTTGAGTGAAACTATTTAATGTTGTATTAGTTTTCTATAATATATATAGAACACAGACAGTTAAAATTCAAGATTATTCCAAAATTGCAAATAAAAGTGCATTTTATGGGCAGTGCACTTCAGAAAAATAACTGAACTTTGGGATTTCTTTTTATCATTTGTTACTTTAAAAACAAAATTACACTTTTAAGTTCGTAAATAAAATGTATTACATTCATCTTCACTTAAAATTCAGAAATGTGCAATTTTTCTCTGAAGCACATTTTAAACAACATACAAAAATAAAGAATTCTGAATATTAGAATTTGTAGACAACCATCTTATCGGGACAATTTTATTTTGAGAAATCAAAAAAGTGGAAGACAAAACCAACATTCAGGGTTTTGTTTCATAAAAATATCACATACATAACCCTGAATAAATAGTTCTCAAAATAAAATTTCAGGAGGCCTGAAGAGAAAAATAAAACTGAAAGTCGTTAATAATACTTTTGAAAAGGAAGTCACTAACATCTCATTATGTATACGCTTACAAAGCAGCATGTACTTCCCATTTTTCATGTTACATGAAAAGTAATGATTTTATTATTTCAACAATGCCAACTTAAACACCACCAACATGAAGGTGCTTTATTTAGTTAAATCAAGCGGTGGAGTGGTTCAATTGCACTACCAATCTGAATTATAAATAATTAAATTTGAAGAACTTTAGTAAATATTAAACTTTACCAATAACACTTTAAATATAGTATTCTACAGAACAGAAGCTTTAATCGTTTTAAAGAAAAAGCACAAAACAACAAATTTTCACACAAAATAAAGACCTGTATCCTAATGAACTTAAATTTACAGCATGGGTGCCATATGTTAAAAGGAAATGACAACAAATTTTAATCCACATATTTATAAAATCAATAAACATTTAATTATCTATTTGTTCAAGCTGTTTTTTTCTCAAATCAATAGCACTGCTCATTTTTACAAGTTGCTATAATATTTGGTAGCCATTTTTCACATTTTTGTTCTTTAAAATTAGTAACTATTAAGATTTGTTTACAATATATACTAGTTAATTCTATTCATTACTGATCAATTAAATATTAAACACTGTGGTAGTCAGATTCATCTGGTTCTTAACACACTAATATAGTATGACATAGGTAGTCTCAATCTGCAGCACCATGCTATTTAATCAAACAGCATTAAAGCTGTTATCTAATGTTTACCCCTCTTACCACTTACTACACTAACAAACAAAATATTATTAAAGACAACAGTTCTGCCTTCACAATGAGGCACATTTTGGCATATGTGCACAGATAGGCAAGTGCAAGTCATGTTATCAAAACAGAGCTTCCACATTTAACTTTTTCATAGAAAAATATAAATATATTCCCTGAATTAGAGGAAGAGAAGTTCCAACGTAAGTCTAGTATCACTAATAAAAGGAAAGTGGGCTAGATCTTCATGTTTCACAATCCTCTTCATCATCTGCATATCTTACCGTTCGCCTGCCCCTATTTCTAGTTTTGACTTTGGAGCGTCGATTTATTGGTTTGTATTTTGTGTAATGTAATTCGTCAGAATCATTCTCTTCATTCACTTTTGGCCGTTTCCTTCTCTGAGGTATTCTGGAAGATTCAGAAAAGCCATTTTTATTTGCTGGTGTGGCTTTCCTTTTCCTTTTAGTTGTTTTTACGCCTCCATTATTATTGATTGGTTTGGATTCTGTTTGAGTTTCCGAATCAGAAGAAAAATGGGAACTTCTATCAGGTTCAGATTTTGAGCTCTCTGGAATGCCTAGTTGTTTATTCTTTGACAAAGCACTTTGTTCCATGTTGTCTCTTTCTCCATTGTGCCTGGTGTTCCTCACATTTGTAAAATTATATTCCTTTTCCAGTTCAGAGTCTGCAGCAGAGTCACTTGTTACATTATCTTGACTTGAACTTTTTTGTTCCTCAGATGTAATGCTGCTGGAAGAGTCATCAAAATGTTTTACTGTGATTTTTTTATATTCAGATTTGATAGAAACTTGTCTTGAGCCATTGCTATGACTCCTCCTCTGTTTTAACACACTTTCTTCTTCAGCATCTAAACATCTTGTTTTTAGTATTTTATTAGATTGCCTAGGTGAATAAGAACAAGTTTGATTATTTCTCCCCTTTATCTTATGTCCTTTCAGTTCTGTTCCACTATCTGAGAGTGAAGGTAAATCATCCAGTACTTTTCTAGCTGCAACAGAGGCACTGCGGAGTGGACGTATTCTGTTCTTTTTTCTACAGTATCCAACTTCTGAGCCTGAGAATTCTTCCTTTGCATCACTAATAAGTTTTATTTTGCTTGCAGCTACAGCAGCACTTCGACGTGGAATTTTCTTTCCATTGAGGGCTTTAATAGTCATTGACATGTTATTCAACTCTGTACAACTTTTGTAAATATTTCTGTTCCTGAGTACTATTGGGCTTTGGTTCAATAGCTGAGAAGCTGATTCTGTAGAAGGAAGAATTTATAGATTAAATATTATTTCTAAAACAAGTTAAGACAAATGATACAATAGTTTAATCATAATTAATCCAAATTGTTATACCAGTGGTAGTCAACCTGGTCCCTACTGCCCACTTGTGGGCGTTCCAGCTTTCATGGTGGGCAGTAGGGGTTTTGTCCAATACTGAAGCACTTTGCTTTTTTTAATTTAATTGACTTCCCTACTTTATAAATCACCATTACTGTGGAACCAGTGGGCGGTTAGAAAATTTTATTACTAACAGAGATACAAAAGTGGGCAGTAGGTATAAAAAGGTTGACTACCCCTGTGTTATACACTTGGTTGTGTACTCTGCCTAACAAATTATCTTGGCTTTTCCCTTCACTGTGAAAACATGCTATATGATACTGAAAACTACAATGAAATTCTCAAATTCAACTACCATTTAGGTATTTTTGTTGCTAATCTTCTAAGTGATTTTTGGAACTGCAAGTACTCATCAGTAATGTAAATATAAGAAACATTTTCTTTAAATTTTCCTCAGCTTAGTTTGCAATTTTTTGGTCTTCCTATTTCATAGCTTTGTATATGAAAATCATATGTGCATTTTGTACTGTACAATCCTTAACTACTGTCTTTTAAATAAATATAGGCAGCCCCTGAATTACAAGCAATCACTTTGTAACTGTTTGAAATACAATGGCACTGAAAAAAGTGGCTTATGAGTGTTTTTCACACTTATGACTATTGTAGCATCCCCAAAATGTAGACACTTGACAACCAGCATATATTTATTACGGTTGCAGTGTCCCAGGGTCATGTGGTTACCTTTTGTGATCTTTTGATAAGCAAGGTCAATGGAAAAGACAGATTCACTTAATAATGGTTATGGTTATAGTAACATGGTTATGTTACTAACTTAACCTGATTATAAAATGGGGCAAAGCTCACTTAAACAACTGTCTTGCTTAGCAATGGAAATTTTGGGCTCAATTTGTAATCATAAGTCGAGGAATTCCTATAAGTCCACTGGAGTTGGGCAGCCAATAAATTTAAATAATTTTAACAAACACAAAAATTAAAAGCAGCACAAACCCCAACATACAAAACATATTGAAGGAAAAGTAAAAATTAAAAAAATATTAACTATCTATAGCAAAACAGATACATGTTAAACAATATTTAATAATTTCTAGATGAAAAAGGAGAATATTGTAAAATATCAAGAAATCTGCACCCAAAACACTTCATAATTTTCTAATTTGTAGGTAAAATTGCATTTTCAAAAAAACAAATAAATTATATATCCCTTGAATGCAATCCTTAAGGAATATTATATTTATTTCATATAAAATATAATAAACATTATAATTTACATATAACAAACGTAACTTTTAATATTACCGTATTTTCACCCATATAACCCGCGGGTTATATGCGTTTTTTACATGCACAGCGCCCCCTGCGGGTTATATGCGTGGGCGGGGTATACGTTAAATATTTTACACGATCGGAGGCTTGCACAGGCTTCTTTCTCCGTTTCTTCCCCCACCCCGATCTCAGCTGTTTCCTTCTCCTCCGTTCCTTTCCTCTTCCCCAGCTTGCGCAGGCTTCTTTCTCCGTTTCTTCCCCCCCCATCTCAGCTGTTTCCCTTCTCTCTTACTCGGCGCGGGTTATATGCGTGGGCGGGGTATACGGAAAATATTTTACACGATCCCGGAAACCCGCGGGTTATTCGCGTGGGCGGGTTATTTGCGTGGGCGGGTTATATGGGTGAAAATACGGTATCAATGAAAAGATCAGTATTATAAAAATTACCTTCCTTAATTCTTCCTTCCTCTGTTTTTTCTTTCTTTTTCTTGGGTTGTGTTTTGATAACACTGTAGTTGCTAGCATTGTTGCAAGATTTGATTTCCAAATCAGACTGGCAGCTGGAATCTACTCTGGTTTTAGATTTTGGAGTTTTTGAAGATTCTTTGCTATTTGGCAGAGAATCAGTTCCATTTCCTTTGTGCTGTATGTCAGATTCATTTTTTGATTTTCCTGAAGAATCTACAGTCTTCTGAAACTCTTTAATATTGTCATTATATTGGTTTAATTCTGAATCTCCCTCTAAGTCAGAAGTGACTATAGTATTATGTGTAAATATAGGATGTTTATCAGGATTTCTATCCTTTGACAGGTGGCTTTTCAGACTTTTCTCTAGAATGGGATTTATACTTCTATCATATGGAGTTCTAGGCTTGTGCATATGGGCTTTTTTAATATGCATTTTTTTTCTTTCAGCACTTTCAGAATATGAACTGTTTTCAGAGTCACTACCATCTATCTTGGCAGCTGTGGAAGACTGAATACACTTTCTTCTACAGTACTGTTTCCTTTTTGCTTCACCAGACTCTTGGCTTCCATCTGCTGAGCTATCTAATTGCTTTCTAGTTGCAGAAACAATACTGCGACAGTTCAGTTTTCTATTATTGTCACTGTAGGTTCTAGTAGTTTCTGAATTGGTGAAGTCTTCCTCATCATTCGCAAGACTTAATTTATTAACAGTAACAGTAACAGTATCACTTCTAAGGGGCAATTTTCCATAGATGTATTCCGATTTACAAGCTCCTGTCTGACAATCACTTTGGAATGGTCTTTTTCTGGTAGATTTGCTGAGCCCATTTGCTTTGGCAACAGAATCTATAAAGGCACATAGAATAATTATATTAAAATACACAAATAAAAGCATTAAAAATTCATAAATAAACATATTTATTAGCAACTGTGAATAACCTAGTTGAAGATAATAAAGATAAGTAAATACCCTTGCAGTTAAGGCAAAATTTACTCATCATTATTATCAACCTCAGAAAGTTTCATGACCTGAATGCAAAAACTAACAAGATGTATGATGACATTTCAGTATGTCAAACCATTAAATAAGAGATTTGGTAGATAGTCAATCAAGGTTGAGATTTTGAGCACTGCAATTTGAAGAAATACTCAGTGCAGCATCAAAACATGACTGCCAATGAGTTTCATAGGAAGAAAAACTGTCAAAGCCTGAAAAAAGTAATGGATATATAAGGGAGATGGGAGTTTTGAGCCTACCTCTGCCAATTCTATTTCTTGCAGAATTGGTGTTCTAAGCTAGAACACCATTTCCAGCAATCTTTATTCTTAGACACACACAATCCCTTGTAACATATACATAATATGTACCTTGCCTATTGCTATTTAGCCCAATTTCTTATCTTTCCTTCTGTATTCCAGTAACTTGCTTCCACAGCTTAATCTCAACCCTGCGCTATACTGTATGACACCAACTTTCCCACATGTGATGCTCAATATGTATTTAAATTTTCCTGCTTCGAGCCTCCCTTCAAATTAGGCAATGGCAAAATCAGTGTAATTCATGTAGAGCAAGACGTAATTGAGAAGATTGGGTTGGAAGCAAGATACTGGATCACAAAAGGGTCAATCTATTCCTTCTTTTTATGGGGCGAAGAAGTGAGGGATAAAGTCAGAAATAGGCTAACCCTAACCCTGCATCAGTAACTGTCTACTGCCTTTTTTAATGTACCTCTCAAACAATATATTACAAACATTTGTTTGATGTGACTAAGGCTGTATTCCTAAAATAAATTCAGGTGGGTAAATTGCCCATAAATCAGTAGATCTAGAATACTTTGTTATGTTAAATGATACTAAAAGAAAAATATGCATGAATAACATTACACCCATTTATTCTAATGCATCATATATTTTAAATAAATCACCTTTCCTGATGCCTTTCCTTCCCTGACTTTTTCTTGAGTGGCTGCTGTCGGTTCCAGATTCTAAATTAGATGAGTCATTTTGGCCAAGTTTTGAAGTTTCAGAAAATATTCTGATCTTTGAAGAAGAAGGTGTCTCATCATCCCTTCCTGATTCCACTTCTGAATCACTCAATATTTTACCTTTCCTGAAGCGAAATGATGCCCTTGTAAAAGCGTGTCTTGGTAAAACTTTACATTCTTGCTCAGAATCTGTCTCAGAGCTGCTATTGGCATTAATTTCGTATGAAGATGACAATTGATGAACTGTTTTCTGAACACTCTCATCATCTGATATATGGTGTTTAGAGTCATCTACTGAACATTCTGGGATGTGTTTCATTTTGGGAGATACACGGCAAACAGTTCTCAAACGTTTTTTATAATCTTTAACAGAGTACCTCTTTGGTGTTTTTTTCATCCCACTCTCAGAATTTGAATTACCACTTTCAGATCCACTACTATGCCTTTTTTTAACAGCAAAATGTTCAGTTTTAGGAGCTTTTCTTCTGTCAGACTGATCTTCCAATTCTTTGTCACTTTCAGAATGCATGGAACTTTCTTCTTCAGAATCATTTAATAATAACTTTCTGGCTGCAGCAGAAGCATTGCGATGAGGTCGTTTTCTGTTTTTATTTCTGGTACCACCACTTTCTGAGCTGAAGAACTCTTCTTCCACATCACTCATCATTCTTAATTTATTAGCTGCCACAGTAGCACTTCTGCGTGGTATTTTCCTATACCTACAAAATCTATTGCTCAAAGTTTCATAATGTTCATTTGAAGTATCAGTTTTTCTTTCCCATATCCTTTTCCTTGTAGTCCTTTGGCTATCTGCATCCCCTTGTGAAGCTGGACATATAAATGAATAAATGAATACACACACAAAAACACATACTTACAATAAACATTCTAAAAAATAATTTTGTCTATTTCTAAACTCTTAAATAGGCTAAGTGTTGAGGTTTGGCCTTTTTAAAGTAAATGTAGGTATGTGGTTTTTTTCATCTTTTATAAGCCATTTGGAGGAATATTTTCCATAGTTACATTTTACTGACTGACTACATGCGATAAAGATTTCAAATTTGCATTTAAATACATGAAGGGTGAATGGACTGAAAGAAAAAAGAAGATGAGAAAGTTGTCCTTAGAGGTAGTTGATAAAATCCCAAAAAGAGTTGAAAAACTTTAAAGACTTAAAGGGTAAAATGAATAAAATGCACAGATGTGGTAAAAGTAAGCATGGTTTGCAAAGCTAGAAAGAGATGTACAGTGAACAGCACTAATGTAAGCTAGGTCAGCAGTTGGTTTTACTATGAAATACCTTTCTGAATACCAGCAAGAAAGCTTAATCTCATTTCTAGCCAGAATGCTACCAGGCTTCTACCTGGAAAAAAGTCCCTTCCTCACTTCTAAATTCTGCCTTCCAGGAAGAAGTAGTAGCTTTCTCCTTGCCATATTTTCAGGGCTCAGGAAGGGAAGGGGGGGGGGGGGGGCATATAAAAACAATTTTTGGCAACCATATACCAACTAATTCAGGGGTCGCCAACCTCCTGGGCCACAGCCTGTTTGGAACCAGGCTAAATGGTGGGCATGAGCGCTTGCACCTACTATTCACAAAGTATCACCACCACTATTGGTAGGCTAAAGAACAACAGACTGGAGTAAGAAATTATATGGAATGATGCTAAGGACTAGTCAAAGGAGGAAAGGGATAATTTTCACAGGTTGCCTTTTAAGTAATTTCCTGTCTTTAATTTCTTATGTGTACATACTCTTCTGTATTTTATATAGTAATGCCCTTACTTACAAAGGAATATGTATGCATTTTTATTAATAGACCTCTAATTACCGTATTTTTCAGAGTATAAGATGCACCAAGATTTTAAAGAGGCAAATTAAAAAAAAAGTTTTTGCACTCTGCAGAACTCCCCAAAATGGTCAGTTTTTCACGAAAATGGGCCCGTTTTTTGTCAAAAAAGGGCATGCATAGCCTTTAGGAGGCTTGTAGAGTGGTCCTCGGGGCTGGGGTAAAAAACAACCTGTTTTTCGCTCATTTCTGCCCTCCCAAACCCCCAGGGGCACTCTGGAAGCTAAAGGCTATGCACGACCATTTTTGCAAATGGGGCGGGGTTTCAGGAGACCAAAAATGCTGTATTCACTGTATAAGATGTACCCAGATTTTCAGCCTCTTTTGGGAGGGAAAAGGGTGCGTCTTACACTCCGAAAAATATGGTAGTTTTCTGATGCCAATTGAAAATAATAAAGTTATTAGCTAACTGTCTGAAGTCCAATTTATCACCAGGAATTTTCCTTTAGTAAGACATCTCTCACATTACTTGGGCATCCAATAATAGGTGGTGCTATTACATCACATGATGCCATTACATGGGCATCAAAATGCCTTTATGCCCACAAGTACAAGGTTGCATTAAGATGTACTTTCATGTAATTATCCCATTATATCCTAGATGGAACATTTGAGGGGGAAATGATACACAACAATATTACAGAAGGCTTTTGGAACAAGAATTATAGAATTCCATTATTTTTTCTTTTTTGCATTACTTAATGTAATCTCTTTACATTTTTGAAATTATCCCAGTAGACCACTCCAATTTGGGCTATTGTAATATGTTCTATCTAAGGCTGCACCTGAAAACCACCTGGAAGCTGTAACTGGTCTGGAATGAAGGAGTAGTAGTAGCATTAATATTAGTAATAGTGTTAAGTAGGTGGATCACATCATGAGCCACAGTGGCTTCCTATAATTACTAGCACCTTGAACTCTGGGTACTGCTAGTAATCACCTATTGTGGCACGACAAAACCGCGCTACGCAAAATAGAGGAGATTAAATCGCGTTGCTAAAGCCGCGACGTCATCACCGCGTATCATCACCGCCGCGACAACAGCGCGGTGACAGAAGGGCGTTCTACATTCTTCGTTCTTTGCTTCCAAAGGTAGCCCTCCTCCTCCAGCTGACAGCAGCAGCAGCCCGCGGGAAGGGTCCAGCACAGCCGCGGGGGGCAGCAGGAAGCCTGCGGGGGGGGGGCTGAGTGGGGCCCCCGACGCCGGTGGCGGAGGAGGACGCAGCAGCGGCGGCGGCTGAGGCTCTTCCAGGGCCGGCGAAGCGGGCTTGC